AAACTGATCCAAATAAGGTTGGAATATCCTGTTCATTAGATCCATAAAAGTAGCTGGTGCATTCGTAACTCCAAACGGCATCACGATAAACTCATAGTGACCATATCTTGTTCTAAACGCCGTTTTTGAAATGTCTTTCTCTTGAATCTTTAATTGATGATAACCCGAACGTAGATCAACTTTTGAGAACACTGAAGCTTCCTTTAATTGATCAAATAAATCGTCAATTAGGGGAAGTGGATACTTGTTCTTGATGGTCACTTTATTGAGCTGTATGTAATCGATACAAAGCCGCATTGATCTGTCTTTCTTTTTAACAAATAGAACTGGAGCTCCCCAAGGTGATACACTTGGTCTAATAAACCCTTTGTCTAGTAACAACTGTAATTGAATCTTTATTTCTTGCAACTCTTTTGGAGCCATCCTGTATGGTGCCATTGCAATGGGCGTTGTTCCCGGTATTATCTCAATCTGGAATTCTACCTCTCTGTCTGGAGGTAAACCTGGCAACTCTGCAGGAAATACATTGGAAAATTCTCTGACTATAGGAATTCCTTCAATCCCTTTCTCCTTGGTTCTAACATCCAGCACATTAGCAATGAACCCTTGACATCCTTGTAGCAATAACTTCTTCGCCAACATTACTGAAATTACATTTGCCAATGGATTCCATCCTTCACTAAATACCACCACATCTACCCCTTCTGGACTTCTCAGCGTTACTCTTTTCAATCTACAATCGATATTAGCGTAATAACGATATAACCAATCCATTCCCAGTATCACTTTAAATTCGTCGAAAGGTAATTTCATCAGATTAGCAGGGAATTCAATTCCTTGAATTCGTATGGGACATCCTCGACTCACCATATTTACCCGAGTACTGTGTCCTAACGGATTCGTCACTATCACCTCATTGCTAGTAGTTTCTAACAGAATGTTCAATTTTTTCACTAACTTACTAGTAATGTATGAATATATAGACCCTGTATCAATCAATACAATAACACCTTTGTCAAACAATAGAAAGGTACCTGTTATAATATATGGGTTATCACAATCCTCATTGGTCTTGAGGTTGTACACTCGAGCAGTGGAGTGTATCTCTTGTTGAGCAGAGGATTCCGATTGGCTTCTTCCTCTACCTCTACCTCTTCATCTCTGGCCTGCAAAAATAGATCTCTCTGGCTATGTAGATTCACTAGCTAACATTGGACAATCCCGAACAAAATGCCTAGCGTCCCCACATCTAAAGTAGACTCCAGAAATCATCCGACATATCTCTGAATGATTCTTTACATAATGTGGGCATTGTCTGGCTTGACTCTGATTAGATCTCCCAAGTCCAGATCCTACTGACTGAGTTTGTCTACTTCTCATCTGATTTGATCCTCTAGTGGAGGATGCCACTGACTCTGATCTAACTTGGGGTTGAAAACCAGCATCTCTACCTCTTTTTGATGGTGCGAAACTTGAAGAAGCACCCGTTCTTTTGACTGTCTGAGCTCTCGAATTTTCAAACCTCTCGTTTTGAGCTCTTTTCAGAGCCTTGGCACGGTTGAATACCTTTTGAAACGAGGATAAATTCAAGACAATTAACATTTCCTTCAACCGATGACGTAACCCCTCTACAAACCACTCACAAGTATCCTTCTCTGTAGGAACTAGCTCGGCAGCAAAGCGGCTCAACTTATTGAATTCACACTCGTACTCATATACAGTGTGATTCCATTGCTTCAGATTCATGAACTCGTGCTTCATTTGACGAACAAATTGATCTCCGATGTACTTATGCTTGAATTCTTCTAAAAACAATGACCAAGTTACTTGGGTGTTAGACATCCTCAATGTAACATTGGTCCACCAGATCCTTGATTGTCCTCTCAACAAGGAAATTACTCCATCCAGCTTCTCAGCATTGGAACAATGAAGTCCCGTAAGCATGACCTTCACGTTATTAAGCCAAAGGTCCGCACTAACAGGACCTTCATCGGCTTCCCCTCTAAACTCTGGAGCTCCTAATCCCTTCAACTCTTTCGCAACATTTAATTTTAGAGTTAAAGTAACAGGAGGTTGGAAACGCGTCAATACCGCATCTAACGTTCTAAAGAATATATATTGATCATTTACAGGCATTCCAGAGGATGTCTGTTCTTCACTCTGTCTGGCCAGGGCAGGTGAATTATTGCTTTCAGCGGGTCTATCATCTCCCTCTTCATTCCTAGAACTACCTCATCTGGACATCTATAAAAATACAACCATATAGTTCTATTAGCAAAACAGCATACTTACTATTCCATCATATCAGAAGTTTCCACTATTTTGTTGGTATGTATACATTATCAGACACTTTAGACTCCGGTTTATGCTAAGAATCAACTAAACCGTAGCTCTGATACCATTAAATGTAACACCCCTAACTCATATTCGACCCGAATACAAGTCCGAGATGTCACATTGACTTTTCAAACTTTGATTCTTAAAGAAAAATCTCGGGAATTTAAAACTTTGTTTAAAACAAAATACTTAAATTGACATAAAAGAGACCACTTAATACAAAATTAATCAGAGCATTCGTAATTCACCACTTATTACATACCAACACTCTATACACAACAAAATACCTACTTTGTCAATTACTTCTGATCTGATTTCTTAATAATGTTGATGTTTGTGCCACTTCTATTCTACCTACGTGTAAATCACTTACACGCTAAGTCATAGACTTAGTGAGGAAATAAATGAATATGCAACAATATCTTCATAAATATGCATTCTTACCATTTCCTTCATGATATTTCAATGTGCATGTATCTATTACACAATAACATATATAATCATATCATGTATGTACGAAACTTACCTTCTTGTACCACTTTCACTTTACTTTGTATTTCAATTGCCCATGTATATTATTGAGAATAGAGGTATGTGAGTACATTAAGGTTGTGCACTAATGCTGTCACCACAGCTCGTATCAATTCCCTCATGGGGCACCGAACCTTAGTTCAGTATTCATCCCGAATGACTGTTATATATGTCCCATAGGACCAGTACATACCGAAGGACTATTATACCCTCGACTCTTGGCATGCCAATTATACCTATAGCTCTCATATCGTATACTATGGGCATTATTCTTATATTTCATATGTTCATGTACTCATGTCATTTCTCTTGTGATCATGTAGCTCATGTCACTTACTTCATGTCATGTTCTCATATCACATATCATATCACATGTGTATTTGAATCTATTCATATATATACATCATTTATCCAATCACATGAACATATATATGCCTTAAGCATGTATTACAATAATTATCATGTATGCATGTTCACAACTATTGTACTATAAAAATTAATATAGGGATTAGACTTATCACAAGTCTTATTCCATTATACTATACATATAGTATGCACTCACCTTAGCTTTGCTTTGATTCGATTCTAATCCTTTGATCGTTCCAGAATAAGCTTACTTTTAGTATCTACATAATCACACATGGATCTATATCATTATTATAGCTAATATACTCTAATGGTTCACTCTTTAGATTAAGATAAATGTCAATTTCCTCTTTTAATGAAGGTATGCACCGATGCACTACTTGTGCATCGGTGCATAAAATGATTCGATGTTTTATTATTAATGGGATGCATCGATGCATGCCTTATGCATCGATGCACTAATTGCATTCGATGTTTTTATTTTAAAAGAGTGCATCGATGCACTACATGTGCATCGATACACCTTCAAACAATTTTTGTGTTTTAACCTTGATACATCGATGCACTATGAATATGCATCGATGCACTCTGCCCAGAATCCTCTTTTTGAACCCGAAAATTCATTCATTTTGGATTAAATCCTTCATGTTTAATCCCCTTTTTCATTCTTAACTCTAGTACACATCCTTAAACCAATTTATACTCATTTATTTCATCTTAAACCTCCAAATCCTATCCTTCATATGTAATTCAAGAATTACATCAATAATTCAACATGTTTGAATTCCACTTTTAACACTTCGTATATCTTAATTAGATTGATGACAAACCAAATTTAACTTTCAATTCTAGTTATGAACTATATTCCAAGATTTCATATAAGAACATCAAATCTTAAATCTCTCCTAACTCCATCATCCTTTGATGTTAAGATAACTTAAGCTTTCCTTAAGCTTAGTTATCATCTAATAATCAAAAACCAATCTTAAATTTAACAAGAAACTCAATAATCAAAAATCTTACCTTTGATTTTGTTCACACGCACAAGGAAGAAAGAAGAAGAAGAGAACTCTGGAAGCCTTGGGTGTTTTCTCCCCTTCCACCCACGTGTATCCTTATATATATATTCTTATCCTTTCTTTAATTATTTTTCCTTGCAATTACTCTATTGTCCTTCCATTCCTTATTCCTTTCAATTCCATCCTACACAATAATTTACATGTAAATCTTTACACTATTCATTCATTTTATTTTAACCACCAAATTTTGAGACTTTACAATTTAGTCACTAACCCGGTATTGAGGATGTTACACTTTCACTTGAAATCCACATATGATTATAATGAACTTTTCAAGTACGTAACATAGGCCAGGTCTCACGGTTATGAAAGAAAGGGATAAATAGGCCCAAACAAGTGTTTAAGGGTAATTAAACCAATGATCAATTCATTCTGATACCTTCAATCTTACCTTGCCTGACTTGGATCTACTTGCTACTTGTGTTTTATTTTCTTTCTTTTTCCTGGATCTCTCTAGACTGCCCATTTTTGGGTTTTCACCCTAGAGATCATCTTCATTTTGTTATATCTTCGGCATTTCTTGTTTTTCTTGTTGAATCTGGATCTTTAAACCATTTGTACTTGATAAACCTCATGGCTTGTGGTTCATTGAGTCACTCATCTTGAAACACTTGATCTATTTTATTCTTTTTTTCATCTTTTTCATCTCTTTTAATTTTCTTTTTCTTTCTTTGTTGTCGACTTGACTTAGTCTTCAACTACCTCCTTCTCCTCCTTGCATTTAGATCTTCTTTTGTTGTTCTTGACTGGATTTGGTCTTCGAACGCATTGTATTTGATCCACCTCGAGGTACATTATTATTTTTCACTTTATTTTGCAACGACACGAATTGATGGTCTTCACTCATGTGAGCAGATTTCCTTCACATTGTCCCCCCCAATGTGGAGCGTGATCCTTGGTTAATGTTGAATTAGAAGAAAAATGATTCAGGTTCAAAAGGGGACAACAAGGGAAATATTTTCTCTTTTTGTGGAGGGATAAATAAAAGAAAGTCGTTCATCATTTCATACACAAAATTCCTTGCAATAAGAGGTATTCCAGGGGGATGAATATTCAAGATTAACTTTTATTCACATGAAAACAATGCATGATAGAATTATTTAAATCATTTTATTTTCTCTTCTTCCTGCTTCGAGCATGCCCTGATTATTTGAGCTTATCTTCAGAAAATTGCTCCATGATGCCCCATCTTGTCTCTGCTTGCAGGAAAATTCACGGACCAATGGAAGTTTTGCACTTAAGGCATTCAAGTTTTATTGGTATATTAGAAAAATGATGGTTTTTTGTTTGAAATGAAAAAGGTGTGACTTTTAAGTCGTGTATATGGAGAAATGTAGTGTTATAAAAAGATCGACTCTACCCAAGAAGGTAAAAGTATGAATTTGGTGTCTCGAAAAAGGTAAATGTATGACTTTTGAGTCTCAGAAAAATGTAGTGTCAAAATTTGGTTTTGGTAAGGATATGAAAGGTTTAATTCTGCCACTTGCCCAAGATCTACAATTCTTGAAAAATTAAAATAATCTTTAATTAATTTGATACTCAAAGAACTAACATATTTAAATTTGATTTATTGCTCAAAATCCTAAAAGGTAACATAAGTTTAATCACCAAACATTTTGACAAAATATTTAGGTAAATAAAGAAATAAAGAATAAAAACCAAACTCAAACAAGACAATGCAAGTGAAATAGAGCTACAAGACGGATGAAATGATCCCTTCCCAATTAGGATGCCCCATTATTCATCAGACATGTGGGTGCTTGTCTAGATCTGCAGGGTTGTTACAATCTAATGCCCACTTGCTCATTAAATGACCATGCCTCTGAATCGATCAGATTCTGTAACTTTCTTCTTTGTACCCTACAGTTCTTAGTGTCATGCCCCAAGCTTCATATTCATGGTTCTCATTCCGAATGAGGTGGCTTCAACTTTCCTTCAACATTTTTTTACGGATTCCTCCACAAATTACTCCATAAATTACTCCATACTCCAGGATTGATGCATGTAAAAATGCTTAAATTAAAGAAGTGCGAATGCAAATGTAGATGCAAAATGCAAAAGGTGTTAAATCCATAAGTGACCACCATAGAACAACATTCATTTAGACAACAAGATTTTATTACACCAGGTAGTCAAAATAAAATTACGATTCTTTACTTCTTCATTTCCTTGAGCCTTAATCTTTATGGAACCTAACATTGTACCCGAAGTTGTCGGGGTACTTTATCACATTAGACAACGCCTGATGCCCTTAAATTATTTTTGGTTGAATCAAGAGATCTTTATTTTGTGAAGTGGTCTTCATGCCTTTGTGAAGGGTTTTCTCGTCCTTGATCTGACTGCATCTATCTCTTGAGGAAACATCTTGGCTTTGGTCCTTTCAAAGGAAGTCTTCAACCAGCTTCAAATTCATTCATTCATCGGATGTCTTTCTTCATGGATAATTTGAACATCTTTGGATCTCCAATGTTTGTCTATATGGCTATTAATTTATTGTTTCATTATGAACAACCTTCTATTTAGTCAATCACTTACGAAGTAACACCTTTGTATGACATAAAGATGTAAATGCATGCAAATAAAATCAAAATAAAATAGACACCGAGCAAAAACGGGTTAGTACATATAGGATAAACAACAAGATAGTAAGTACTATAAGCATCAAATGAAACCTACCCTCACAGCTTTACTACCCATACATGGTATAATAAATCCTACCCAAACATGCTTTCTACCCCCATGCTTTGTTTAACATAAAAATCCTAACCTCATGCCATTTAGTTCGCATTCTTATTCGGAAAAAAATAAACCTAACTGCATGATCTCTAGTTCGCATGCATTTACTCGAAAAAAAAATTAAACTAGAAAAATTAAAGGACTCAAAAGAGTTTTTTCTTGTGTACTCTCCTCACGAGACTCTTAAGGTTTGGGTTAGGCTCTACCTAGGTTCGGGTTCTATGTTCACTATATGTTGAGCTCGTATCTAAAGTATAGGGTTCTCAAATTGTCCTTGTTGGTGTCCCCTTGGGCTGTCAAACCCTCAATCATGGCCCATCACAGGCTTTCAGATTAAGTTCAATTTGAGGGGACACACCTCCTTATGTCCATACGGAGGTGAAAACCATCATAAGAACCATAATGCGTGAGCCCCAGGAGCGATCTACTATCCCATACGGAGGTGAAAACCACATGATAGAGTAACTTCTCACTCTTACTTAAATAGGATGGAGCAGGTTTTTAGCTCATGTTAAGCAAATACAGCTGTGTAGTGTGAGGAAAAGTATAAATAAAGCAAACAATGTAAAACAAAATTCTCAAAATCTTGAACTTTTATTTTATCTGAAAACATTATTCAACAAATCAGTACAACTTTTTAGTGATTAATCAAATTATAGACATGCAATTCATTTGAAGCAAACAATGGATCAAAAATTAAATTAAAACAAATTCACAATTCTCATTACAAAGACAATCAATTAATCGACTAATGGCTTGACTCTTTAAAAAAAATCCCCAAGAGAGTCGCCAAGCTGTTGAAACAATTTTTCTCTTAAAAAAAAATTTAATTTTCAATAACTGGTTTTTAAAAAATCTCGTCTCGAATAATTTAATGACCTGTTAATAATAAAACGTGATTTGAGGAGTCAGCATCAACTTTAGATTAGGGTGTGATTAGGCTCCAAAAAATGTATTTATCATTTTAATAAAAATAATAATTTTAATTGAAACAATAAATTTGTGGTTGCATTATCAAAAAGTTGAGTTTAATAAAAATATCAATTAATTGGTGATATTACCATTTCGATTTTTATGGAACATTCGTTGTCAGTTCAACTAATTAAAAACTAAAAATAACAAAAATTGCCAAACATCTTTGCCCACCAATTAATGTGTCATTCCTATTGAGAAATGGTCACTTTCATCTCATATAAGACACGCCCAGTCCAACTCTTTATTAAATTTCTATCAATTATATGGCAGTAAAAAAGGTTAACGGCTTGCACTGATTTGTAACAGTGGAAAAACCTTTCCTTCCCGGATCACTTCATATTGGGCTTCTGACGTATTCGATCATGATTAGTCGATTAATAAGTCGGATACTAACAATTATATCAAAATTAATTCCTTCCAGCCTATTATAAATAGGCTTCAAGGGTACCATTTTAATTGCAGCAACCTAGATGGAGAAAATGGAGGAGAACAATAACGAGCAAAATAATGCTGAAAGGCCCAAGGGAGGGCTCATCACCATGCCCTTCATTTTTTGTAAGCTTAATTTCATTATGTTTTATTTTGAAGTTGCATTCCCAAATTTGTGCTACATAACTTTGGTTTCTTTGATATATGATGCAGCGAATGAGGTCTGTGAGAAGTTGGCCGTGGTAGGATTTTCCGCTAATATGATTAGCTACTTAACGACGCAGCTTCATATGCCGTTAACAAAAGCAGCCAACACTCTCACCAACTTTGGCGGAACCGCGGGCTTGACGCCATTGCTCGGGGCTTTTGTCGCCGATGCATATGCCGGTCGTTTCTGGACTCTAACCGTCTCCTCCGTCATATACCAAATAGTGAGTTCTCGGTTCTCTCTCTCCCCCCCCTAGATTCAATGTTCTTTCGTCTACAACCAACACTCATGTTATTATTTCATTGATTAGGCGATGACATGTTTAACACTGTCGGCAATACTTCCACAACTTAGACCCCCGCCTTGTAAAGGCGAGCAAGTGTGCCAACAAGCTACTTCAGGACAATTGGCAATCCTATACGGATCTCTCCTACTCGGAGCCTTGGGGTCGGGCGGGATCCGGCCGTGTGTGGCAGCATTCGGGGCGGACCAGTTCGACGAAACGGATCCGAACCAATCGACCAAGACATGGAAATACTTCAATTGGTACTACTTTGTGATGGGGACATCTATCCTAGTGGCTGTCACGGTGCTTGTGTATATTCAAGACAACATCGGCTGGGGATGGGGTCTTGGAATTCCCACCATTTTCATGTTCATCTCCATCATTGCGTTCGTCGCCGGTTACCCGCTTTACCGGCACATGGACCCTGCAGGGAGTCCATTTACCCGGTTGTTACAGGTCTCTGTGGCAGCTTTCAGGAAGAGGAAATTGGCTATGGTTTCTGATCCTGAGTTGCTGTACCGGAACGAAGATCTTGACGCATCGATTTCTGTAGGTGGAAAGCTTGTTCACAGTAAACAAATGAGGTACGCTTTCTCTTCATTTCTAATCTCCATCTTCAATTTCATTCTCATCTAACAGTTATACTCGGGATCAACCTAGAGGATTGTTGTACTGGTCACTAAAAATTTAAAATTTTCATATAATTTAAATAATTTTTTATATTTTTATTAATAATTTGTTTGATCCTTAAAATTTTATAAATTTATCCCATAACATAAAATTATACTCCATCCATTTTCATGACACAAAATCTCATTGTGGTCCATAATTACAACATAGCTTAATTGTGACATTTCATATAATTTGTCACTATAGTTGAGATATCCCCATTAATAATATATACACACACGTTATAATATATTAGTCATTTTTCAATTTCTTTATTATAGTTTTCTATAGGTAGCAAAGAACTTTCGTCCTAAACGAGATATCCATGCATTCACTTTTCTAAACTTTTCCAAAATCTTTTTTTATAAAATAATACTTTATGAATTCTTCATCATATAAAAAGATTCCAATTCTTAATTATTATGACCTAAAGTTTCATTTAGTGATAGATTTAAAAATTTAAGAATAAAATTTAAAATTTAAATATTTTTTAAAAATTAATAGGTATACAATTTTTTATTTTTTAATATATTACATTAAATTTAATAATTTTTTCAAAATAATGATATACATTTGACCCTGAAGAGCTTAGTACATCAGCCCCTGATTTCATCAGTTCTATTTGTTTTAAATTTTTCTCATATTTTTATTAATTTAAATTACTTTATTATGAATCAAAATAAAATAATAATAATAAGATCACATGATAAAACTTCATATATATATATATATATATATTAAATGATTTGATCCGTATCACAGTTTTTTTTTAAATCGTATTTTACTAAATGGCAATGTATTTTTTTATCATCACGAATATCACTGTTGCTGTCCACGGGGGGGATCCTTGAAGCATGCAAAAGAAAAGACGAATAATTTGTGAATGTGAATGGGCAATAATTGGGATTAGGACCACCGGCCATACCCACAACCTCAGATCTCATCGGCAAACAACCACCATACACATACTTACCATTGGGGGTAGGACCACCGGCCATACCCACAACCTCAGATCACATCGGCAAACAACCACCGTACACACACACCATTTCACGACAATGAAACAAAAACTCTCATCAGCAAACTCTTTTTATTATTTATAAAAAAATTATTTTTAAAATATTATTTATCAAAATAATATTATTTTAATGTTATATATAAATATATATAATGTGAGTCCTACTTTTTAGAAAAAAAATAACGTTTATCACATCTTCTGAAAAGTGTACATGTCATAGTGAGCTTTTGCTTACATATAAATGGTGTATATCAAGACCAAATTGAATAAAAGATGTGTTAGCAAGAGTTGAACGGTGGTGATGTGAATGTGTAGGTTTTATCTTCGATAACTCAATGAGTGGATATTAAAAGACTGTATTTAAAAGTTTAGAAAAACTAATACTCTAATTTTCTTAAGTGTTTACATATAACCTTTTAATTTGAATTAATTGAGTGATTGAAGGCGAATACAATTTTTTAAGATTTTACCACATAAGTAAGACCATCTTTTTTAACTTAATTGAAAATTATGATTTAATTTGGATTTATGAGTAGTTACTTGATGAATGTATACGACGAATGGTGGGTTGCAGATTTCTTGACAAGGCAACAATTGTGACTGAAGAAGACAATGTAAAAGCTCCTAATCTATGGAGACTAAACACAGTTCACCGAGTTGAGGAATTGAAGTCAGTGATCCGAATGGGACCGATATGGGCATCAGGGATCCTCCTCATCACAGCCTATGCTCAGCAAGGCACATTCTCCCTTCAACAAGCCAAAACCATGGACAGGCGCCTCACCAACTCATTCCAAATCCCCGCCGGTTCCATGTCCGTCTTCACCATGATCTCCATGCTCTCCACCATAGCCTTGTATGACCGTGTTTTAGTCCGCTTCGCCCGGAGATTCACGGGGCTCGACCGCGGTATCACCTTCTTGCACCGCATGGGAATCGGGTTCGGTATCTCGGTACTAGCCACACTCGTAGCGGGGTTCGTCGAAGTGAAGCGTAAACAAGTAGCTTTGGCACACGGACTCGAGGACAAGCCTCACTCGGTCATCCCCATCTCGGTCTTTTGGCTCGTGCCTCAGTACGGTCTCCACGGAATAGCCGAGGCATTCATGTCAATCGGTCACTTGGAGTTCTTCTATGATCAGTCCCCGGAAAGCATGAGGAGCAGTGCTACAGCTTTGTTCTGGACTGCGATCTCGGTTGGGAATTACGTGAGCACATTGCTGGTTTCATTAGTCCACAAATTCAGTGCTAAACCTGATGGATCAAATTGGCTACCGGATGACAATTTAAACGAGGGAAGACTGGAGTACTTTTACTGGTTGATCACCGGCTTGCAAGTGGTTAATCTCATTTATTATATCTCTTGCGCCAAGCTGTATACTCTTAAGCCGATTCAAATCCACAGCAAATTCGACGGTGAATCTGAAGAAGATGGAGTGGAGCTTGCCAGCAAGGTTTGATGAATTTGCACATAGAACTATAGTTTATGGTAATACATGTTAGCTTTAGATATGTCTAGTGAAGTCATAGATGTTGCCGAGAAGAAACTTGGTAGATTAATTTATGAGCTTCATGTAAATCAACTACAAGTATTGGATTATGTAGAAGATTAAAAAAGTTAAAAAATTGGAAAACTTGTTTTTTCATCTTCCAACTTTGGTTTACCCATTCCAATCATATTAAGGATAAACTACATAGTTGGTCAGTTTTGTTTTATTTTTTTAAATATATGGTCACTCGATCCAAAAAGATTAATATGTTGTCACTTTTGTTTCATTTTAATTAAGACGTGATAACTTAACATAAACTGCTGTTAAACCTTCAACGATTTTCTAACCTGACACATTAGTAGGGGCCATTTTATAAATTCAAAGCAATTAGGGATAAAGTTCTAATTTACCCTTTTTTTAATAAGTTATCTTCTTCCCCTAGCTTCGTTCTTTGCAATCTCCAAAGTTTTTTCAGAGTTTGAGAGCAGATAAAACGATGGGTTCAACCCAAAACACTTGTTCCACTCTTAGCTCCGATGAGGAAACAATGTTGATGGCCATGAAACTCTCCCTTGCGTCACCGTTACCCATGACCCTCAAGTCGGCTATCGAGCTCGACCTGCTTGGGATCATCAACAAAGCTGCTCCGGATGCTTTGCTGTCGACGAAAGAAGTGGATGCCCAGCTCTCCACCACCAACCCTGATGCGCCTCTCATGCTATACAGCATGTTTCGAGTGCTGTCGAGCTACTCCGTCCTCACTTGCTCCTCTCGCACTCTTCCCTACGGTAAAGTAGGAGACTCTATGGCCTTGGCCCCGTCTGCAAATTCTTTACCAAGAACGAGGATGGTGGTACCATGGCTTCGAGAGACTCTATGGCCTTGGCCCACGGTTTTAACGACGAAAGCTGCTTGAAAATTTTCAAAAAAGTGCTACGAAGCTTTACCGGACAATGGAAAAGTGATAATTGTGGAAAACATTTTTTCGGAGTATCCAGATTCGGGACTTGTCACAAAGTTTACCACCTTATCTGATGCTTTCATCTGATGGGTGGAAAGTTAGGAGCGTTGTTGGTGGCGACCAGAGCTTGGTGGAAAGCCATTGGGTTGGGAACCTATGGAAGTGTGCAGTGCGAGAAGATGAGGGTAGGGGAAGATAACATTTAAGAAAAAGGGTAAATTATAACTTTGTCCTTAAATTATTTTGAATTTATAAAAAGATCCCTAATTAGTATTTTATATAAAGTTCAGAGGTTAAAATGAAAATTAAACACTTTCACTAACGTGTCACATCATCAAACTAATAGAAGTAAACGTTTCAGTGACCACATCTTAATTAAAATAAAATAAAATTAACCACGTATCAATCTTTTTTAGATTGAGTGATCATACGTTTAAAAAAATTAACAAAAGTGATTGTAATTTACCCTTCTTTTTATAACGAAAAGGGTAAATTACACTAGACATCATTGAACTTTAGGTGGTGTATCATTTATACCATTAAACTTTTAATTTATTCAATTATAACATTAAAATTTGGTTTTGGCTTTAATTATGCACTGGATGTTAAAATCTAAACTGTGTGATGATATAGACAAAACAACATCGTTTTAGACACTAAACTTTAAAGATGTACCGATTTTTCTATTAAACTTTTAAACAATTCACTTTTTGGCACTATATTTTTTTAGCCCCTCTAGTAGCCAATCACCATCAACAATTGTCTTTCGTTAAAAGATTGGTACAAAAACGTTCGTATTTTACCTCTTAATTTTCCTATGATTGATTTTCCATGAAACCTACTTAAAATCGACAAAATTAAACAAAAAAATCATAATTTTTAGGAGTTTGGGGCTCTCTTAGATTTGAGGTTTTTGGGGTGTTTGTTCAAGACTCTGAACAATGAAAAGCATTATTTCAAGAACACAAATAATATACTTCAAAACTAGCCTCGTCGAATGGTCGTAATAGGAGATTAGAGTATTAGCACGTCAAATCTTTAAATGAATTTTTATCTTATCATATGAGAAGAAAGATGAGTGAAATACAAACATTTTGATATCAATCTTGTTGCGAAAAATGACCGATCACAGGCGATAATTGGTTGTCATCGACAACCAGAAAAATTGTGTAAAAAATTGAACCTTTTTAAAGTTTAGCAGCAAAATCGATTTACACTTAATGTTTAGTGCTTAAAACGACACTAATTTGGGTATCAATATACACACTAAAATGACTTCATTTTATCCACATCATCGCAATGATAAAAAAATTTACCCATATTATTGTGCTATTAAAATTTAATGACGCAGTGACATTAAGACCAAAGTTTATTACAATAATTAGAGAAATTAAAAATTTAATAATATAAACTATATATCACATAAAATTAAATGGTATATGAAATATTTTACCTAACAAAAAAAAAACCAAGCAAAAGCTAGAAAGACAAGAGATTCCTTAACCGGCCTACAAAAGTAGCACAATCATATACTAAATCAATCGAGCATCAAAGCTTGGTCTATTTTAGGGTAAACAACATGAGATACCACCTAACTTTGTTTGATGTCTTATTTATTCATTGAACTTATATTTTATAAATTATAATATTAAATTTTTGTTTCATATTCAATTATGTCATTTTATTGTTACATCGATAATGGGAAGATAACATGACTAATTATTGTTGACGTAGTCTGTCACATTAAAATAACATTATTTTGGTACTACTGTTTTAATCTCTAAAATAACGTTGCTTTAGACACTAAATTTTAAGGATATATTGGTTTACTATTAAATTTTTAGATAATTTAATTTTTTGACACTGCATTTTCTAGTAGAGTGATATAATTAAATATAAAACTGAATTTTAATACTATAATTGATAACATTAAAAGTTTAGTAATATAAACAAGTTAATATGAAAAATTCAATGATATTAAACATAATTTATTTTTTGCCTGAATTCGTCTTGAGGTATATGGAAATTTGGTCTTGTCAGTTTTAGACTTGTCTAGTAAAGCGATAGGGATTTGTTTACGGGTTTTTTTTGGCCCAATACTCATGCGTGTTTATTATTTTGGATTTTAGGGTAGCCTAATTTATTTTTGGAAAATATAGAAAAGTTATAGTGGATATTGAACTCGTTATCTCGAGGTGAAGAATTTCTTTGAATATTATTTTTAATGGTCTCCGAAGAGTGGATCCCAGGTGAGTCATTATTTTAATGTCCTTAATGCGACTCGTAACCTCTATTAAAATTAATTTTTTTAATTTCAAAAAATATAAATTACAAAAAATTATATTTTTTTAAATTTTAAAACATTAAAGGTTAAAAAAATAATCGTTTTTTAGCCATTGGTCAACGGACATATGGGCCGAATAAAATTTTAAAAAAATTAAAATTAAAAGAAAAATAAATTTATTTATATTTTAATAAATACAAAGTAAATAAATAATCAAAATATAAATTATTTATAGAAAAATTACAAAATTATCTATTAATCAAAAAATAAATTGTTTACAAAAAAATAGAAAAATTACGATGCCTAAGAGTTGTCGAATGATAATGGTGCGGGGCTCGTTGAATACGCCAGGGTTGTAGGCGTTGATGATCGTCGTCGTCGTCTTCATCTTGCCGAGGAAGTGTACTTAACACACTCTGATATTCACATTCGAAATACGGTGATGGGCTTATGGTATTTGACACCATCATTGCCGTAACTGATTCAACTTGGCTGCTACTTTGTTCATCATATAGGATATGATCCCACTCACCCGCAACCGCATATTTTGTCGAAGATGCTTGAGTGAATTGCAGTGTATCTCATGAACCTCCAACCCAAATCGGTCGAGTCTCGGTTGAAGTATGATATGGAAATAGAAGTCGAAACTAGCCTGAGATGCATAATAGTAATCTTTAGCTGCAGATGTTGAAGCAGAAGACGACGACAACGATGCTTTCTTCTTGGACTTAACGCGTGTGGCTTGATGATGTTCTCATTATCCCCTCTCTTACGGTGTCGTGAGATCCCACTCACCCGCAACCGCATATTTTGTCGAAGATACTTGAGTGAATTGTAGTGTATCCCATGAACCTCCAACCCAAGTCGGTCGAGTCTCGGTTGAAGTATGATATGAAAGATAGAAGTCGAAACTAGCCTGAGATGCATAATAGTAATCTTCAGCTGC